ATGATAACTTGTTTAGCATATAAAGAATGACGTATCCTATCTTAGTCATCTATCTATCTCCATTAGATTCTTAGTATACCCAACGAATCGCCTATGTGCGACTCTTAATTGAGCTCATCAAAATGAGTATCGGTACATAAATCCTCTAACGAGATAACCATGATGATTTAAAGTCAAAGGACCATTGTATCCATCTCATATAAGATTCCTATTAACTAAACCAAATGGGTTCTCATGGCGAGTCATGTCCGATAATATGTTTTCTAATATTAATTACCTAAGTACTTGCTTTGGCATCATTATGCTAATATGTGTGAGATCTTTTACTACTATCTTATAGCATGAGTATAACACTTACAAGTCTTATCGCATATAGTCAATGTCCATTCTTGATGATGCTACATCTTGAGACATTTAACGATATCATTTAAGTGCATCAATGTTTATCTCACATCTTTTGATCAATCATTAATGCAAAGATGTGGGATAAACATTAATGCAATGTATTTCATATGAACTTCTATCTAATTCTATCAAAATATAAATCACAAAAATCAATAAAAAAACTTCTTTTATTAATTAAATAAATAATACAATATTACAATAAGTCAAACTATCCAAATAAGATTGGATCTAGGCCACCTACACCGACAATATGAATTGATGAAAACAGAGTTATCCCGAGCCAAAGAGCTGCATGAGCTCCCTCGATGCTATTGGTTCCAATGTCTTATTCTTCGGTCGTTTTAGGTAAGAATTTCTAACTTACAAGTTTCTACTTTAATTTTCCTTTTAACTACTTCTACCTTTGCTATCTTTGTTTCTATTCAATTCTCAAATTGCCTTCTCAAAACTTACCTCTCAATTCCTTTTTCTTTCCTTAAATTGCTTTCGAATTCCTCTCTTAACGCCTCTCAATTCTTAATTCGTTTTCAAATTCCTCTCCAAACATTTATGTCCCCAATCTTTTCCCTTCTCTTCTCTATTTATACTTGACAACATGTCCCTCCTCTTATGTAGTCGGCATTAATTATGGCTTTTGGTCGTTGTATAAACAGAGTAAAAAATTATTGTGTTTTTCAATTATGCCTAATTGCTGTCTGTTTTGGGAATGTTAGGTTTACGAGTGGTTGCATGATGGTGAAGTAGCCGGAAGGCGATTATAGGGGTTGCGAGGTTGACCTACTTTATCCAAGGTTGTAAGGTTTGGTTGTAGGAGATTTAGATGCGGGGTTTGGCAAGAGGTGTATAGAAGATTTGTTGTAGGGGATTTGTTCGATTTGTATCTAGGAGATTGTAGGAGATATATAGCGAGACATGGATGTAGGGTTTGGATGCAGAGGTCGTGTAGGAGGTTTGTTGCAAGGGATTTGTCCTCCGGTAACTAACGAGAGATGAACGATGGCTAAAGGATGCGATGGTACAAGGCCATGCATGCCTTGGCCAAAATTTGAGAGCATTTGGACGACAAGTCATTTAGGCTAATCTTGAATCGGTCATGTCATCTACTCCAAATGTTTAGTATAGTCCTTGTAGATTTTGATTTGTTTCAATTGTAATCTTTAGGAGAGTCATTGTAATTCTTGAATTTTAATTTTCTTCAATTGGGTCCGTGTACCTTGTAATTTTAATCCTATAGTTTTCAATTGTCTTAATTGTAATTTTATTTGATTCAATTACGAACCTAACAATTAAATTCTTTAATGTTTTTTATATTTTTATATTTTTTTGGATTAATTCTAATAATGAAAATAAAGTAAAAAAATAAAATAAAATTGAAATGAGAAAAATGAAATAAAATCACATTTTAGGGGGAGGGAAAATTTTGAGTTATAACAATACTTACACACACACGCATATAGCTTCATGATAATTCAATGACTTGCATATGTTAGTATAGTGTAAAGAAATAGAATGAGATATTTTGTTTTGTTGTAAATTTTTTTAATGGTGTAATGTTCTTCTCTAGTTCTTGTATTTTATCATTATCCACTAATTGGTTCTTATTTAAAAGTGGTTTGGTCATTGTATTTTTTATAAAAATTATGTTTTAGTACTTTTGATGTATAACTTTTTGCAATCAAGTGCCCTAGAGAGTCCTTCTTTATCAAGTAATGGTTCATTACATTGTTTTTTTTTTTTAATGCAATGCTTGAATTGCAATAGTACATCACATTATAATTTTAAAAATTATACAACTAAATATAAAAATGTAATGGATCATTAAATTACATGATTTATTATATCCAATCAAATATACCACAATTGGTTTCTAAATCCAAAAACAATATAATGCATACGTTTGTTATTTTCTCCATGCGGAAAACCTAGCTATCATCCATCATCAAGAGGGGATCCTGTGTAGTCCTACATATCACTACGTATGCATAGAAGGAATGTTATCGGGTGGATGCATTGATGTTGATCATAGTATGTAGTTTGTGCAAAATAATATAAATACATACAAACACATGTATATATATGAAAAGAAACTACGAGTCTTGCAAGTTCTTGAAGCATGTTGTTATGCTCCGCCTAAAAGAGGGATTTTTCTAGAGATTCTAAAGAACACTAGATAAGTCGAGAAGCTTCTGAAGAGTATGGAACAATGGAGAAGCCTCTAGATAAGTCCGGAAGCTTCTGAAGAGTATGGAGTAAAAGAGAAGCCTCTAGATAAGGCTGGAAGCTTCTAGAAGAATATGGAGCATTGGAGAAGTCTCTAAGATGATCTAGAGAATTCTAGAGAATCCCTCACTAATCTAGCATGTGTATATCTAGATAGTTCCTTGTAAATATTTAGATAGGATATTTCTAGAGAACCAATTGTAACCATTAGATTAAATAGATCCTAGCCATCCATTGAGGAGGTGGAAGGCTATAAATAGGTGAGGCCCTCACTTGGCCAAGACACCTAGACATTCATAAACTTAAGAGAGTGTGTCGAGTTGTAAGCTTTTAGAAAGCAATACAAAGAATATTTATATCTCCCGTGTGTGTCTTTCTTGCTTAGCAACTTTGTGTGAGGAAGGCCGACTTGGTTTGTCTTAGAGAAGAAGAGAGCCAAGTGCCGCACGTGAGCTTGAAAAAGACCAAGTCCGTGACAATGTGGATCACGGTAGTTTGTCCTTCGACTATATGCTCCAGTCGCCCATGAGTTTATCTAACCGAGGTTTAATTTTTTTTTCCTATATATGCAAAATATCGAATCCCATAGCTACATATGTAAGTCAAAATGCCAATTATTAATTGAATGCTTCTTTTTGGGGCTTTAAAACCAAGTGACGGACGGGAGGTGTGGAATGGTCCCCGGCCTTATAAGCCAAGCCAATTTAGCACAAGAATCCACACTCGACAAAGGGAACGCTCGACATTGAATGAATCACTCGTGTGTGTGGAGGCTGGTGTTACCGTCGGACACAATTTAATTACTGGGGCAAGAATTGGTCAAGGTCAAGCCTATTTTTACGCTCGGCAGAACTTTTTAGTTTTTAACCGTCAATATTTATTTTACAAGTCATTTTAAAGAGATAGGTAGATACGTAAAAAATAATAAAAATATTTTTACTTAACTTTAATTATTTTTCTCTTTTATAGTTCTTTCTTTTTTATGTTTATTTTTTTCTATAATAAAGTGTCAGTTTGTTTTCTCTCTATAAGTATAGGCCTAAAGCCATTAGCATAGCAATAAATTGCAATCGTTTTTGTGGTGGCTCCATCACTCCCCACAAACACAACGCTGCTGTGTTTCCATATGCTCTTTTTTGTCCATGTCTAAATCCCCCTTCCCTCCTGCTTCCAGCTATGATCGCGGCTACACAAAACTACAAGAATAAAACAAAAACTGGTGAAAAGAGAATATTTTAATTACCGAAAGGCAAAAACCACCCACACAAATATATATATATATATACACACACACACACTAAGAATTGGTGGTAACAAAATAAAGAGATTTATTACATTTTTTTAAAAAACAATAATTTTATTGATGATATAAATCAAATAAATACATCATTAGTTTTTGTGATATAATGATATAAAAAAGTATATATATATATATATATATATATATATATATATATATATATATTAAGAATTGGTGGTAACAAAATAAAGAGATTTATTACATTTTTTAAAAAAACAATAATTTTATTGATGATATAAATCAAACAAATACATCATTAGTTTTTGTTATATAATGATATCAAAAAGTACTAATAAAGGAATTGTAACCTATTACATTAAAAAAAAGACAATTTTTTTATAATAATGATGAATAATGATATTTAGATAACAAATAGTTTTTTTCATGAACGTTAATAAAAAACCACTCAAATTTTTTTGATAAAAATCATCAAAGATAGCATTTTTTTTACACATTATATACACAATTGAGTTTATCATCACTGTAAATCAACAAGTAAAAGACCGTATTACCAAACTCCATGAACATAAAATTTAAACTAACAATTGCTAAAGATTATCATTGGGTTTCAACTAATAAAAAGTACCCCCTACAACCCATAAAATAGACATCAAAAATCATTTTTTAAGGATAAAATATCTTAACAAAGCATGAACTATGTACACAAATCAAATCTAGATATAAATTGCTAACTTACTAAAAGGAAAAAAAAACGAAAAAAAAAAACTAAGAAGATAAAAGGCAACGGCTCCAAAGAAAATCACCGGCCACGCCTAGAGTTTTTTCTTTAGAAGAGAGTAAATAAAAATAGATCGAGAGAGTGCGTAATCCACAACGTCATTCATCAACCACCACAAATAAGGATCATCGACGAACTTCATAAAACACTCATATATAGGATATAGTATAAGATTCTGAAAAATGAAAATCTTCGTCCACCCAAGAGTATATATTATCTGTAGATGTCGACATTCATAAAAAGGAAAAATAAGTATACTAAAATTAAGACCATTCTCATCTTGTGTTTGCTCTCATGCATCTCTGCCACCTCTAGCTCGAATAGCACTCGTCTTTGTCACTGGTGCTTCAACCCTGGTATTTCTCCATTATCATTCGCGAGGTAGTCATCAATAGTTAGGTCGTGAGTTGGGGTAGACAACTCACTGCTGTTCCCCTGCATACAATAAAAAACTGTTAGAACTCATATTCCAAATTAAAAATAAAAGGTTGTTTGGAATAATTTTTTGTTTATATTTTTAATTTCTTTGTTTTTTTTAACAGAAAGGAAAACCAACGATTGTCATTACAATTTTTGAAAACCGACTTGTTTGAAATATTGAAAATCAATTATTGGAATTTTTGTCTTTTTAAAAGAAAACAAAAACAAAAGTAATACCAGACGATCTTAACAGCAGGTGATCGGCAATTATTTCTTCATGAAAAGAAAAAGGGATCCAAGTAATGGTAAATTAGAAAATAGAGACATACACGTGCCCATCTTTGAGGGGCTCCAGATTGACAGATCCCAAGTGAGTCTGTCATGGTCAAGCTACCTGACCTAATAGGTATCCCAAACTCGTGAACTGGTGCGTGGTAAACAGGCAGCGCCACCTCTCTAATGGCAGAAGTGTTGTCCAAAGGTTGCGACTACAAAATTTGTATATATGCATATAGACATGTTAGAGATAATGATTGATATACAAAAAGAAAAGGAAAATGAGTTAGATTCCATAAAAGGTATGAGTTAGGATTCCATAAAGAGTGTCATACTAGCATAGAATCCAAGTGGGTGCAGTAGTTTATTTATGCTTTTGACATGAAAAGTAAAGAATGTTGGCTCTCTTGATTATTTTTGTTCGAATTTTACGCCACATTGCCCTAGGATTTCGAAAATATTTTTCCTCCTAATTTTTTTTTATTTTTTTCGTTTAACAATCAAGTTATTCATGGAAAGAAAAAAGAGAGCCAATTAATTGTAAATTAGAAAACAGAGACATACATGTTCCCATGCTTGAAGGACTCGAGATTGATGCATCCCGAATGACTCTCTCACGGTCGAGCCATCTAACCTTGGAACTATCCCAGACTGGTAAAATGGTGTGTGATACGCAGTCAGTGCCGCCTCTCCAATGCCTGCAGGTGTGTTGTCCGAAGTTCTTTCACGTACTTCCCGTTGCAACTACAAATTTTTTATACATGCATATAGCCATGTTAAAGATAGTGATTGATATATAAAGAGAAAAGGAAAATGAGTTAAGATTCCATAAAAAGTGTCTTCACTAGCACAGAATCAAAGTGTATGCAGCTATTTATTTATTTATGCTTTTGACATCGAAAGTAAAGAATGTTGGCTCTCTTGATTATTTTTGTCGGAATTTTACTCCCTATTGCCCTAGGATTCGAGCATATTATTCCTCCTAATTTTTTTTTAATTTTTTTCGTTTAACAATCAAGTTATTTACTGACCAATTAAAACTAAATCCATATTTTTAATTCGATTAAGATCGAAACCACAAAAATTATAAAATTTTTACTAAACTTACATATATTTATATGAAAGAAACTACAGCCTTACAATTTGTGGAAGTATGTTGGATATCATAGCAGTATGTTTTTCAGCCATTTGCACATTTAGGTCCCGCCATATTTTCAATTCAACATTGCTTTTCTCCAACTCAGCACATTTTGCTTTAGACGTTTCCAACTCTCTCTGATATATTTTCAACTCAGCCTTGCTTTTCTGCACCTCAGCCTCAAGTTCAGCAAATTTTGGTTTAAGCATTTCCAACTCGATCTCAGTTTCTGCTGTCCTTTGCTGCACATATATAGACACATAAAAAGAGAAAAGGATAAATTAACTATTTATGCGGTTCGATTAAGAGGAGTAGAGATATTATTCAGTCACTCCTACCTTCTTCTTATCACGGTATTTCTTATCATTTGCCCGTTTCCTTTTTCGCTTATATTGATCAGTTGATGGCTGGCCAGTTTGATCATTAGTCCGATCACCTGTTTCATATGTTTATGTGTTTAGAATTTGAGAGAACAGAATTGGAAATAACTACTATACTATATATATTGAGAGAAAAAACTTGCTAAATATATTGGCCATTAATTGAATGTGTTTGATAGCTTTCATTTATTAATATCCCTGAAACAGTCATCAATTTAACATTGGTGGATCATCCTTCCTGCAAAGCTTAATTGCAATCAATGTATATGCATTGATTTATTTGATCATTCACCAAAATATTAATGGGTTCTAGATGTAGGTACCAGTTTAAGATATTTTGTTTCTAGCCATCCATTTGTATTTATCCAGAATATATGGGACCTAACTAATATAGTTCCAAAAAAGACATGGTTGTTACATATAAAACGTATACTATGTAGATTCTCTTTATTCAGCTCATCGCCTTTCATTTTCTTTTCTTTTCTTTTTTTATGATAAATCAGGGTTGATAACTTAAGTGATAGAGAGCTAAACTAATGCTTAAACGTACATCGATATATCTATAAAAAAGATCAAAACAGGATATATATATATATACACTTAAAAAAAAATCTTCAAAACAAACTTCTTGGCTGTTATATTCGACTCTAACTGATTTCAATATATATGTTAACTTTACAAAATCTTTGAATGGCGATTTAAATTGATATATTTTGAATTTTAAAAATAAAATTTCATACAAACCGAAACAACATCACCACAAAATCAGGTATGGCTAGCTCGTAGAAAACATATAAGAAATGATAAACATATAAATTAGAGTTTTAGGTTACTGATAATTAGTACTTAATATTAATCATAGATATGTACTGGAATTGTGTTGTACCTCCAGGAGCTTCAGACAGATGCTCCATCGAATTGCCTGGCCTCTGCAGAGAATAAAACAATTGGATCGAGGATAAGTACAGCTGAAAGATCCAAATTAAGGCACGAGAAAAGAAATAAAATTTTAGTACTAGATGAAAGTGTGTGGGAGAAAGGGAAAGAGATCTAACCAAAATGTTTATCTTAGATGAACGAATGGCACTTTCCCAAAATCGAACGGAGAAGCACGTTAAACGACCGATAGGGAAAGATATATATATGAACAATACACAGGGCAAGTTATTAATCCCCATGGTCACAAGTTAATCTACAGCACCATGAACGGTTGTACCCACAAATGCTGGACCCACTTCTTGAAGGACTGCCGTGGTCTCAATCGGAGTCTCCTTAAACTTTCGATTAATTAATCAGTTTAGAGAGAATCAGTATATAACATTTTATTGTTTGATAAAATTAAAAGTCGACTCACCGTCAAATCAGTAAAACAATGTGAAAAATACATTAATAGAAGTGGCAACTTGGATGTGGATAAAGTTTTTCATTTTCGAAAGGAATTTTTTTTCTTTTTCAATTTGAAGAAATAGGAGAAAACAAAACCAAGATAGTTACTTATGTACTGATGAAATTAGAATACCTTATAAATCAGTTCTTTTATTTTTTTCAAAAATAATTAAATACTTTTTTAATTTAAAACATCAATTAAGCAATTCATATGTTTTTAAATTTCCTATAACTTAATTATTATTATTTTTTTTTTGAAGAAATAAATAAAAAAGTTAAACATATAGAAAGATTGTTAAGAAAAAAATACTAGTTTTTAAATAAAATAATATTAAATTAACTCTGATCAATACTATTAATTAATTAATTTTTAAAATAAAAAAATATTTTATTTATTTTATAAAACTCTAAGGACTAATTTATAATTTACTCGATATAATTATTTCGGTCTGTTAGTTTGGGTATCAGAGAACTAGTTGGAGGATGCCTTGACTGTTAAAAATATATAGTCGTACCTCATCATGTCTTCTTCACTAGAGGCAAGTTTGCCTCTTCTCGTACCACCAGAAATATAAGCTTGTTTGAAGCTCAGTTATTCTGTTTTCATTTTCTAAAATCATACAGTACTTGTACAACTGCAGATATTCTCCTTAATTTCTTGCATCTTGTCATCACAATTCTGATGTGGTAAATTCACTCAAATCATGTCTGTGAAACAGTTAAGTTGATAGATCGCATATGCTGCGAGCCAGTTGCAAAGTGTTGATCATAAACGAATCCTTTCTTCTTGTTAACACTATCTCCAGCATTTTCTGCTTCTTGTCTTCATTCCTGGACAATATTTTAAATCAGGCAAGAAACCGAAGAAAAACTCAATAGAAGTAGAGAAACAAACACTGACAAACTAAAAATGTATCATCACTTACATATTTTCATGGCTGAATATTGATCATCAGGAACAGATAAAAAAAATTGAATATTCAAAGTTTTCGATGATGAATAATTATCGCACAGATCGACTCAACAATGTAGCCTTTTCGTTTGTGCTAACACATGAACCAGCTTCAAATCGAGGGTTTTCAAGTCTGGTGGTTGCAATCCTGAAAACAGCAGCAAGACTTGAGCTGGTTTGGTGATCTTTGTGGCTCCGAGGAACCATTCGTTCACCATTCGTTCATATTAATATGATTATTGACCAGACTTTAAATGTTAACAAAGACCTCGAGAATTGTTAAAAAAAAAAAAATTGACCAAGACTTGCAGAAAATATCAAATCATATTACGGGTCCACCACGTGAAAGTAAGCCTAGTGGTTGATAAATTTTTAATTAAGTAGCATTTGGAATGAGGTTGAAAAAATAAAAATAAATTATTACAGAAATAATTATTATAAAAATAATTTTTTGAGGATATAAAAGTTGATTTTTAAGTATATTTAATGTGTTAATAAACTGAAAGGTTAAATATTAGGGGAATTAAGAGAAAATAATTAAATTATTAATAATGATTGATGAAAATAAATAAATCATCTGATGCGTGTTTTGAGGGAAAAAATAATAATATTTCTTGCTTGGAGACGGACCAAAAAGACTAAGCATATTGCGTAAAATTTACCCTTCAAAAAAACCAATTTTGAGTGCTAGTAACACTCTACAAATCGCTCCCCGGTTAAAATTCAACCAAATATTCTTGAAAGGTTGAGTAAATTCTAACCCTCGTTGAATAAATTTTATAATACACAAAGAGTAACTAATGGCATATAAAATAGTTATTTTATGAATCTATTTTGAGGAGAGAGATAAACACATATAAAAAGAAAAGAGAAAATTAAAAAAAATTATGCCAACATTAAAATCTTTTTATTATTTTTAATTGATGTACGTGCCATTAATTATTCCTTATGTATTATAAAATTTCTCTTCCCATTCACCTTGTACCATATATAACTTTAATAGTAAGGTTTATTTTGAAACTCACTTTCTAATGTGAAGGGTATAACAACTGATCATTCAAAAAGTTATAACAAATAATTTAATTGTAATTCAATTATTAAAAATAAATTTGTTCACTTAAAGAACTTGTAAAATATAACCAACACGTTCTGCAAAATATAGGAATAAGTACACTAAAGTACATCAATTTTTAATTTTTTCTCAATTGAGTATACGAATTTTTATTTTTTTCATTTGAGGATATTAATTTTTTTAAAATTGTCAATCAAGTACTTCTATCAATTTTTTCATTAACGGATGACGTGTTTGGTATTCTCAAAATACAAAATTATAATCTTACTCTTTTTCTCAATCAATTATATGAACTTTAATTTTTTTCGTTTGAATATATCAATTTTTTCAAAATTGCCAATAAGTATTTAAATCACTTTTTTCATTTATTGATGATGTATTCGAATAGAAAATTATAATTTTACCATTTTTTATTGAAAAAAATTTCTTCTCAATTATTTTACTATTTTATAATTTGAAAAATAATTAAAAAACTATTTTTGATCTCTAAAATTCCAAACTAAACTCAATTAGGTTGTTGTTTTAAAAAAAATCAATTGGGTTTAAAAGTAAAAATTGAAGAAAAACACAAGTGAATATTCTTGATGAAAAATCTCATGTTTGTGTTTCTTTCAATTTCACGCTGAAAACCCAACTAATATTTTTTTTAATAGCAAGCCTTACTAAATTTAAATCGAGATTTTATAAATAAAAATATTTTTTTATTCTTTATCAAATTTTAAAATGATAGAATTATTTAAGGAGAAAGTTTCTTAGAACAAGAGATGAAAAAAAAATCTCAATTGGGCTTAAAAGTAAAAATTGAAGGAAAATACAAATGAATATTCTCGATGAAAAATCTTATCGTTGTGCTTCCTTCAATTTTCACGTCCAAAACCTAACTAACTTTTTTTTGGATGATACGTTTAATTATTTGATGGTGATATATTTGGATGATATAGATCATTTCAAAGAATATGCAAACTTTCTTCATAAGCATTATGTGTACAAAAATTTTTTTCTTGGCCTAATAGCATATTCGGTTAAAAGCTTGGAGGACAAAACTACGTCTAGTACGTAAGCCTATGAATGCATCCGTACTATTGAGAAACACCCAATGAAAGGAGCCTCATTGGTTATAGTTTGAAAAATCAAACCAACGCCCACCAACCGAAAAGACAGATAGTACATCTAAGAAAAGGAGACACGCTCCAAAACTATTTTTTTCTAACTCACACCAATAATGATATCATCATGATATTTTAATATTGACTTCAACACTAAGGACACTCATCCTCCAACTAGCATCAAAGGTTGTTGGCGGTAAATGAATAAACCATTTTACTCTTTTTTCCATGCAACTTGATGAGTGTTTTGCTTATATAAACAATCAAAAGACCTAAAGTTAAAGATTTTAAATATCTCTTTTTACTACTACTATTCACTTTATTTTTCACGTTTACATCGTACTTTTTTTTTACTATTTTTTTCTACTTCCTCTAATTTAAATGTTAGAAGATCCACCACCTAATTAGAAAGAAATGTTTTATACACTATAAGAAAACAATGGTAATCGGTGATAAATTATAGTCTCTAGCTAAATAGTGACGGATTAGAGAACGAATTATGATCGTTGTTTAGTTGTGGACCTCGACTATAAAACACCGATGGATTAGCGATAATTTTCGATGAAAGACCTATATCCATAACTATATTTGGTAGTAAAATATATGTGGTTATTTTCGTTCATCCACATCATCCCAATATATTGGTGATCGACGCTTCTTTTCATATAGAGCTTTGTAAGGTGCCATATTGATGCATGCTTGGTAACTATTATTGTAAGTGAACTATATTGATGCTCACTTGGTAACTATTATTGTAAGTGAACCCAGCCAACGAAAAATATCTCTCGTCAACCGGATGACCAATCTAACACACACACTCACAAGCATGTCATCTAATATCTAGTTCACCTATTCCGTTTGTCCGTCAGCTTGTGGTTGAAAAGCAGTGTTGAAGTTTAATTTGGTTCTCATTACTTCGTGTAGACTATTTCAAAAGTGTGATATGAACCAAGGATCTCCGTCCGATACAATTGAGATAGGAATTCCATGTAATCCGATGATTTCTTTTAAATATAATTCCGAATACTACCGCATGAAGTACGTCATTTTGATTGCTAGGAAGTGAGTTGACTTAGTCAATTAGTCCACTATAACCTATATGCCATACGACATTCTAATTCATCTAATTAAATAGTTCTTAACTTGAATTGGCTAATTTAAGTGTTAAAAAAACCTAACCTTAATTAACACAATATAGGTCGAAACTTACCCTAATGAACACCTAATTAATTTCTTCTCATTTTCTTCCAAAATTTTAATACCAAGTCATTTAAACATACATTAGCAATAGGAATCAATCTAATTAACATTTGTGATACAATTTCATGTCTAAACCCGAATTGAGCTTTAATGTGCCGAAATTGGGCCTATGTCCAATTAAGCAATTTCCTTCAATTTTCTTCAAATTTTTCCTCCCTAAACATCAAATTATAGTTATTAAAGTACTAATCAATCATCAAGTCATGAATTGAATCGGTGAAACTCAAACCCTAAAATCCAAGTTTAGGCCAAATATAACCTTAGGAATTTCATAGATTTTTTTTCAATTAAATTGAGGTTTTTCATTCCTAAACACAAATTCATACCTAATTAAGTCATATTCAAGCTCTAAAATATCATTACCGAAAAGCATCAAAAAGCCCTAAATCACCATTTTAGGTTGAATGCTTCCCCTTAAACAACCTTAGAAATTTTTGAGTTTCAAACCTCAAATTCAAGCCCAATTAACATAATTCAACCTCAATTACATGAATTACAAGCTTAAATCCATTTTTTTATTTTCAGTTCATCAACAACCCTAACTTTAATTTTTAAAATTAAAGCTAAAATTTAAAATTTTAAGCATATAAACAACAAATTAACATCAATTAAACAATCCTTGTGATATAGATGGAGTTAACTTACCTAATTAAGCTCCAATTAAACCTTAAAAATGAGATGATTGAGTAATTTCTTCTTCCCCATTTTCTTCACCAAATTCAGCCCAAACTTCTAATTTTCCTCTTGATAATTCTTGATCCCTAACTTGATTTCCTTGGTTGATTTAAGGTGTTAGAGGTGGTTTTTGGGTGAAAATTTCTAGGGAAATTTTGCAAGAGCTTCCTTTGATTTTAGCTATTTTTCATATTTCCTTGCATCCCTATTTATAGGCAAATTTTCGGTGGACTTTTGACCTTACCTCGAACATTAAATTATTGTATTTTGGAGTGATCTTAACCTTTAAATTAAATTTTAATCCTATCCCTTCAATTGGAAAAATTTCTAACATTTAATTTTTGGGTTTACCTCATAATTGGTCCCTGTACAGTTTTAATTTTTTTGATTAAGACCCTTTATTATTTTTTAGCTTGATTGAAACCATTTACTCTTACAAATTTATTGATTGATGCCCTCCGTTATAACGTTGTTAACTAGTTATCCTACGTGGTAAGTTAAAATTAACGGTAGCCAATCAAAAAATGACACATGACAATATAGACCTTAATCATTTCAATATAAATCAAAATCAAAATACAAAATGTTTTTAAATAATTTTATAAATTAAAAAACACTAGTTAAATTAAAAAAATAAAAATACCTAACTACCAAAATCATTTAATCTAACCCATTTTCAAATTCAAACTCAATTTCTACTTGAAAAAGATCACCAACGCAAAGACGTGCAAACTCAAAGTGTTCAATAATTTTGGGACATTGGGTAACCTTTTCAAGGAGGAAAAGACTTGACAAAATCCCGAGTGTATAGCATCCATTGAACACTTTGGGTGTAGATAAAATCTTAGTGCTCCATAACATCTCTTTTTTGACATTCCTTCTTCTTTTCCTTTATAATTATTTGATTTAACCATTTCTCTTTACTCGAAAATTTAAGTGTACAACATCCGGAAAAGACTTTACAATTCTAGATGCAACACCCTAATTTCCCTTCTCTTCCAAACCCCAAGTTATGATATTTAAGTCCTAATGAAAGAATGGATTACAAAAGCTAAAATTACAATAGCAAATTGCTAGAGACGTAAGATATTAGCTTATGATTGTAACATGGCCACGTTTTTCACCATAAGAAATGAATTCATTATCACCAAGCCCTCCCAAGACTTTCTATATCACATGCCTAGGTTAAAGAGCTTTTTGTCTCTCTTTTTGCCCATCGATAACAACAAAGGAACAAAAATAGACAAGGATGATGTTTAGTTCCTTACGAGTAGTACTTAAAAAACAAAGAAAATGAGAGAATCGGGCCAATGAGATTGCTAGAACAATGGAGAAGAAGAAAAGAGTTGGAATTTAGGAATTTTAAACCAAAGAAAATGAGAGAATTGGGTATAATGGAGAAGAAGAGAAGATTGGAATTTAGGAATTTTGAAACAACATAAAAATGGAGAAGAAGAGAACGAGTTGGGTGGTATAATATGCTAAGGGGTATTTTTGTTTTTTTATTTTTATTTTTATAAACTAAAAACTTGTTAATATATAATTTTTAAAAAATTTATAAGTTTTTTGTTTCGAATTATAATATCACAATTGGGATGACAATTTATACGTGCTAGTTCCTAATTGGTTACTATCATTTTTAAGGCGCCATGTCGAATTCACGAGTTAACGGAGGGTCTCAATCAAGTTAAAAAATAATAGAGGATTTCAATCAAGAAAATTAAAAATGTAGAGAGACTAATTATAGGATAAACCCTTTAATTTTTCTTTAATTCCTAACCCTTCATTTTGCATTCCTTTTAACCTCTCCTTTTTAAGTGCATTAAAGTTCATTAATTAGGCCCAACTCAAAAAATTTTGCTGGAAGGGTGGAGAAGTGTCTAAATTTTTTTTTAATTTTAATCCTTCATTTTACTAATCTTTTATTTAATTACTCATCCAAGCATCCTTTAATTTTTCAATTGACCATTCTAGGTCATTCTCTTAAAGGTATTTTAACAACTTTTAAACTCCTTAGGTTTATAACTAATTTAATTTAGAAGTTTAAACTTTTAAATTTATGTAATTGGGTCCCTAATTTCTATGTAATTAATTTCTATGCAATTAGGTCCTTAATTCTAAAATTTTATTTTATAATTTTCAAAAATTCAATTTCTCTCTATAATAAATTCAAAATTTTATTAAAATAATTTAATCATGATTTATATAATTTGTATGCTCTCATTTAGGCCCCCAAATTAATTATTTAGTGTGAAAATTACACTATTTCCTATAAGAAATATTCCTTATATGTAAAAAAATTAATTTAAACTTATTAGATACTCATACACATCCCAAATGATTTTTCTTTGTCTTTTAAAAAAATTCCTCATACTTTTTAAGTGTCTAATTTAATTATTCTACCTCTAAAATACTATTCCTACACATAAAAATTCAAATAAAATATTCACCACATATTCACGCTATCACATAAAATAATCGAACACCTCTCTAACAAATATTTTAAGCAAATAAAATATTTTTTATGCAAATGCAACATGCTCCAAATAATTATTTCATACGAAAACTACTATTCATGTATCGTAAAAATTAACAAAATATTCATTAAGCATGAAAAGACTATTTCAACTATTATAAATATTCTTTCAAGTCCTTTAAGATTATTTTATACCTTTAAAATATTTATCACATGTGTTAAATATTAAATTTTTATTTAATTTTAGTTTTAGCGAGTACCGATTATTGCATTCTTCCTTCTTCAACCTCTATTTCGCCTCCCATGGATGAATCGGTAATTGTTTGTCCCTCTTTCTCTTCCTCTTTCTTTTTTTTTTCTTTCTTCTTCTTATTCCTCTCTCTCGACCTCATATGTTTCCTTTTCTCTTCTTCGCTCGATCCATGGAAGAAGCGAACCGAGATTTTTTATCCATTCTCTCCTCCTTTCTCTCTCAATCTTTCTTTCCCTCTCACTATACTAATCTCCCTCTTCCAATTAGATCAAAATCCCAAGTTGAAAATTTTTCCAATCTGGTCAAACCCTAGGTTTTTATTTTTTCAATTTTTTCTTTCAAATGACCTAAATTGGCTTGATTTCTCTTGAGAACAAGCCAATTCAAATCTAAATGAGTCATTATTTTCAAAAACCTCTAATATTTCTTACCGTTGAAGATCTAAAAAACCTTAGGTTTCAATCTAGTCTAACTCGAGTTCAATTCATGATTTTAACCCTAAATTTAAACCTTGAATTGAAACTCCAACTAAGTTCCAAGTAGCCTTTCTTTTTATTATTCAACCTTAATTTCAATCCACAATAAAAATCCTTAAATTCCGAAACCCTAACTCGTCAAGAACCCTAAATTCTCAAAAATTCTAATTTAATTTTTAAATTCAAACCCTCTATTCGGTTAAACAAATACAAATGTATGTGTGTAATTGTGAAGGGAGAAATTGGAGTTGAAGATGATGATGAAGAGGTGTTCGTTGCTTCAACAATTAGGTAAAAATTCCTCTATCTTCCGTTCCTTTTTTTCTATTTTTTATTTGATTTTAATTTTCGAGTCGATTCCCTCCCTTTTTTTGTTTTCTACTCGCCCTCCCTTCTTTTTTTATGAACTCAATTGATTCAAACTAATACTTTTTCCTTGTGTTTGCTATTGCTACCTTTTATCCGTGTTTGTGTTCATTCCCCATCGTTTGATGGTGTGGGATCTTATTACAAGATATAAAGTGCGGGGTTTTAATTGACAAGTTAGTGATTTTTTTTAAAAAAAATAACAAAAAAACAAAAGCAATGACAATTGGAGAAGGAGAGAAGATAAGAAGGTTAAAGAGGCGAAAAGAGACTAAAAGTAACAACGAGTAGCATTGAAATTAGAAAAATAAAGGAGGGGTGCAAAATTAAAAGAAACACCGTTGTAGGAACAATATTATATAGAGAAATTTTATAATACACAAGGAGTAATTAGTAGCATGTACAGTAGTTACTCTTTAGACCCACTTTGAGGAGAGAGATAGACACACAAAGAGAGAGAGAGAGAAAATAAAAAAATTTGAGCGGACATGAAAATCTTCTTATCTCTTTTGGTGAGTATGGATGTAATTTCATTTTTTTTATATATCTATCTCTCTCCTCAAAATGAATCCAAAGAGTAATCGCTATACATATCACTAGTTACTCCTTATCTATTATAAATTTTTTCGTATTATACGAAGTGTTTTGTATAAAGATAAACAATACATAAATAATTTCCTTATCATATTTTTTAGAGTCTTTTATAATATTTATTTAACATAGCCACAATGCCTCGATAAACATTGTCACTCTATCATCAGTCATTGAAAAGTCACGTCATTTTCAGAAGTTGCACAACCGTTCAAAAGCAAAAGCAAGGGTCCATATTATTAGGGATTGTTACGAGTTTCAGAATCATCAACGGCTAAGCACTCATTTGTGCGTGGAAATTACGTGGGAACCTTTCCACTGGAAGAAAGCAAAACTGAGAAACTTAGTGGATCATTAATTGCAATTTCTTCTTTTTACTTGGGTTTACATTCTTCAAATTCGTGAAATTATATTCCTCCAATAGTTTCTTAAGCAACATCAAAACTATCAACCAGCAATGTTATTACATATGGAACTCTACCAAAATCGCTTCTCCTATATTGTTAATCTTCAATTCCATACGTAATTTCACTTAGATTTTTATTTCAAAGAATTCTTTGTGTATCGCTGTTTATGTTTCTCTCTTTGTCATTTAAGGATCTTTTTAATGGAGAGAAAGAAAGGGGTCAGTGCAAAAACATGTGTCTTCACATGATTTTTTCAAGTCTGGGGCCAAACATTTGATTTTCATGCGCATTTTTACAGGACTTGTAAACAGAATTTAATGGAAGGTGTGTAACTTTAAACAAAGGGGCAACTCGATTATGGAAAAAAATGAAGAAGAAATTCTTCAAGGAGTATAAGTAAAAAGGGATAATAATTTAAAAGATGTTTGTGCGAAGTGATTTGCATCAACACCTATACCATTACTAATGAGTGGGAGATATACCGCTATTATTCTAATATTTTCAAATACACCTTCTACGCTTGACGTGAACAATGCTCAACTATGTTTCAATAAAATGTAATCCACAAATGTAGTACTCTGATATTATCTTTTTGTAATATTACCTAGGCATGTATCAATAAACTAAGCTCTGCTAGTACGCTTAAAGCACGGTGTTTAGCACAAGAGAAATATGCAAAGATGGAATTTTAGAGCCTCAATGGACCTTTTGCGTTGGGCCTAAACTTCTTCTTTAGGACGACTTGGGCTTACAACAAAAGACAATACTTCACACATGGACCAATAGTTTTACTGTGTCGAAAGGATTTAAATTTGGAAAAGAAAAAAGAAAAACCAAAAAAAGAGGAATTAAGTTGAATTTCTTTCCAGTAGATGCTCTTCCTCCGTCACCGGTCACCGCTTCAACATTGGCGTGCAAAACAATAAGGAAGCGTAGCATAGCCAGCTGTTAAAGAAAAAGGAATGGCGGAAGAAGGAGAAGTTTTAATTGAAGTAGAAGCGGTTCTAGCCGTGTACGGCGACGATTGTGTGATTCTTGATTCTTTCCCTCCTCAACTTCACCTCCACATCAAGCCCAGAACCGCCGATATCTCCTCTCAACAGGTCCCACACTCTCTCTCCTCTCCTTTTACTTTTGGGGTCTGATTATTTCTTGGTTTTGAATCACAAAATTCGAGGAAAGAAGCGTATGGGAATTAAATATGATTCTTTTGTTCATTAAAAGCTTAGATTTCTCTACTTTATTGAGAAAAAAGAGTAAAAAGTTTGAGAATTTGTTTTAGCCTGATCAAGGAAGCTGGTTGTTGGCAATATTTATGAAAAGTTGATAGTGCTGATTCTTTTGAGCAAACCCATTTAGAATAATGATTTTAAATGTGCTTATTGTATTCTCGAAAGAAACCCATGATTTTCGTAGAACATTTTTTTGCAAGGATATTAGTGAGGTATTGGTTCTATGAATTGGAAGGGAACATCGCACTAGTTTTATTGCATATTAATCTTCACAAGATAGTAATCAGCTTAAGGATTCTGATGCATCCAGCTGTACTAGCGTGAATTCTATTAGGGGAAAAAAATCATCTTTTATGGTCTATCATTGCATTTAAAGGTATGCGTCTTTTTTTTTTCTTTTCCATCGGTTGTAACTTTATTTGCGGAGATTGATGACTGTTTTGTATTTCTTTGACACTGAGAAGAGGCATAAATGACTGTTCTACATGACTTCATTGTTTTTTTCTGCAGTTTGTGGAAGCAGTGATTGGGATACGAGCAGGTCCTCAGGTATTTTACAACATCAACAAGATGTCAATTTGTATGTATTTTCTGCTTAATTGGCGAAAATTATTAGGTTTGGATGCTCCATATGTGCTGTTGTTCATTTCTGAAATCACGAATGCTGGTGCAATTTTATTTGCTTAGATCCTAACTTTTGTCTACGTTCCATGGTAGTATCCAAGTGAACCGCCGCAGATTGATCTCATAGAATCCAAGGGTCTTGATGGAGAAAGGAAAAGGCAATTGATAACTAGTATACAAGACAAGGCATGTGAACTCTCCTCTTGTTTGATGCTTGTAGCACTTTGTGAGGTAATTGCTGCATTTTTCATATAGCAAGAATTTTTTCTGCATTGATATTGTTATTCCATATTGTGTTACTGAATTGAGAAAACCGTATCAGTTGGCTCATATTTGATAAACAGTAGACAATCCTCACCTTAATTTTATTTTTCTTTTTTTCCAGTTGTCATATATTTGTAGGTAGTATTCTTCAAGTAATTGGCTGTTTCTGCAAAGTTAATGCATGTGGTGTAACATTTGGCTTGTGCCAATTATTAAGATCATGCTTTGATGCATCTTAACTCTTTCTGTTTAATTTGCTTGTGTAACATTCAGTAGGGGAGTTGATATCACAATCTCTGTTATTTTCAGGATATGAGCATACTTTTGAATTGTCTGCCAGTGCTATGATAGGTTGTTGGTGTAGAATCACCAAGGTAATAAAAGATCATGGATCATAACTTAATAATGCATTTGGGGAGAATATATATATGCACAGTTACTGAGGTAAGAACACATTCTTGGAATGCTATTTTACCAAGTATTGTGTTTTACTCAGACATTGCACTAAGAAAAATAGTGACTGTCTATCCACTAGATTTCCAACACCATGGCAGGAATGCTTCAAATTGCCCAATCTAAAATATTTTAGCTTCAGAATTGAATTTGTGTATATTTGCAGTTTTCTTTGATTGATATATATAGTTGCAAAGGTTCATTGGTCCTACATTTGTAGGAAGCGGTGGAGAAACTCTCTGTCATGAATCACCCAGATGGTGATTGTCCTTTGTGTTTGTACCCCTTGGTCCCAGAAGATGAACAGGACGAAGCCTTGCCATTTATGAAGTTGATGTCTTGTTTCCATTGCTTTCACAGGTAGAGTTCCGTTTCTTTCTTCAAGAGATGCTAGGTTTTAGTTTTGATTTTGTTATTTAAAACTTTTCCTTGTCATTCTTACCGTTTTTCTTCAAACTACGGCAGTGAATGCATTGTAAGATGGTGGAATTGGATCCAAAAGGAGAAAGAAAGCAACACTAGCACCTCATCTTCCACAACTTTACGGCCAATTAGAGAGATGGGAAACCAGAATGGTACATCTTGGGATTCTTTTTTTTTTTTTTTTGTCATATGTGTGTGTTGGGGCATATTCTTCTAGTTGGACAAGTAGAACATATGCTGCCTGGTGCTTTGTTATTATTAACATTTGTTTAATGAAGAAGACAGTGGTTATTTTTCTATCATGCTATTAATTTTTCTTGCAACATACTGGGGTTATTAGATGTGCATGGAGTATTGGAAGTGAAAATGGGCAACTGCCCAGTCTGCAGAATGGTTTTCCATGCTGAGGATTTTGAACATGTGCTTGACTTGGTTGGAACTCAAGCTTCTCGATTGGTATGCCATCTGAATCATTGTTATTAATTTGAGGTGTATTTATTTATGGTTTGTATTGTAATAATTGCTTCTGTAATTTCTATACTGAACCCAGTCTGCTCAAAATCCAATGGAAGGATCAAACCTAAGGGACTTAAGGAATGATGGAAGGGAATAAAAAAAGAAGAGGGGGAAAAATAATAAATAAATAAAGAAGAGCCCAGACTCCAAATGAACAAATAAAATATTAACTTGATAATGCGACTTAGTACAAATAACTAACAGAACAGTAATATTTGTGTTTGAAGGGCATCAGGTCAGTAAACAAGACAATACACTGTACAAGTATTGCTTGTTGACAATAATAGAATCCCACAAAGATATTTGGCTTAGTTACACCATCACCTATTGTTTGTATGTTGGTTGCCGGTTCATTCAAATGCAACATGTTAGTTGCTGATTTGTGTTGATCTCAGAATTCTGAAGCAGAGGTCAAAGATGAGGAGAAGCTCCTCTATTCTGATTCAGAGAACTTAAGAAGACAGAAATTTGATGCCATATTAAAGTTGCAGCAGGAAAAAAGCGGCTTAATTGAACCAAAAAAGGATATAGTGGTTTTGCCAGGTATATATCTTCCACAACGAGCCACATTGCAACCGGCACCATCACAACCAGCAACATCACCTGCGCAGACAGCGAACAAAGAAACCACTGAGCATCAAGGAACAGAAGCCAGACCCTCCACAGGAACAAATTTGCATGGTTCTTTAAGTAGACCTCGTCCCAGAGAACCCAGGAACTCAGGCAGGAGGAAGCAGAGAGTACAAAATTCAAGAGGACCAGCCAGCCAGTGGGTCAGAAAAGAGAATGGTACTGCAGACTAATTAGATGGTACGGAAATTTTGTGGTTTCATTTTGAAATTGGTTTATGCTAAAATTACCTGTTTGCATGCGACCAATCAAGAGAGATGCAGGCTTGTGATGTGCAGTCTGATTTGTTATTTTGGTGAAAATCAGTTGTATTCCATTCTTCCATGATGCTTCTACCTGTAAACCGAGAAACTTCAAACATAATTGGTATAATTTTTTGAACTTGGCTATCATCTTTAGATAAAATAAAATGGCGTTGTTGCATGCAAAAAATTTTTTTAGAGTATTTCAAAGTAACTATTGATATTTAAATTTAATTCGTGGTCTATTTTTAAAAGCGAGAGAGACATCAAGATGAAAAAGAAAACTATATTGGAATCTATCAAAAGTAACAAGAATATTTATAACTAGATTCAAAAATACATTTTTTGAATTTTCTTTTCATGTTTTTATTTTTATTTTCTTAAATGAAAATTGAGTTCTCTTGAGAAATTTCTTGATGCATGCATTCCTCGAATGTCTGTCGATGTGCGTTTAATTAAAATCCAAGACAATATGTTTGGGACAGGGTAGGCCTTCGTAAGAGAATTAAAAACTTATATGGGCCTGAGTGAATTCCTAGCCTAAATTTCAGGACTGATTTGCTGGCTAGAACTTGGAACAATAGAAAGTCATCTAGGCTAAGTTCATAGTGTCCTTTTAACTTAAAATTTCCACTTTAATATTTATATGTTACTATTTTTTGAAAAACCTTAAATAATTTACTAAAGGTTTCTAAAAATGTATTTTGGAGGCATATTATGAATAATAAAAAGTTTTCGGTGTTAACTCAAATGATAAAATACTGTACTCCATCTTAGCCTTCAGATGATAAAATGAGTATACTCCATCTTAGTCTCGAACTCAAGGATAGTTGTGATAAATTTCACCATGTATGAACGATATTGATATATGTAAACAACCTAAGTGGCGATCGTGTTGTTGTTAATCTCATTTTGTGTTGGTTCAAAAATATACTTTGATCTGACAGATTTTAAACAGTCCTGAGTTCGGCCGAAAATATATTTCAATTTGAAAGTTATATTTTGCCTTCGATGGGCATTAAATGAAAGTTTAAGTCCATTCTTAAACAAACATCAAGCCCCAAAGGACAGAGGAAATGATCCTGGATCAAGTCCATAGCAAGCCCAAGGGTAGCCAGGACAATGGCTTTCTGAGGCGACATGGTTACACAACGGCCTGCTTTGTGGTAACTAATTTACGCACCGTCTAGAAATGCAAAATTCTCCTTTTCCTTTTGTAGCAAACAAGGTTATTAAAATGGGGATTCTAATTAGAATAGTTGGAGGATTCAAACAATTGGATTGCAAAATCGTATGATTTTATAACCAGCAAGCTGTATCTATACATATGAAATTCTGAAAAATCTCGGACATCAGTGACGAAAGATTATTCTTATGGGCAAAATCCAAATTTATATTAAACTGAAAAACATACTCCGAAAAAAAAAAAGAATCATTTTTTAAGTGACATGTTGCAGTTGAAATTCATCGTGAATGTTATATTCGAGGGATCAGTTAGAACTTATTGGTACACATAGGTTGCACCGAAATTTTTAATCACGGGTACGAGCAAACAAAAGTTTCTGTGGATATATAGAAGTGGTACTCATAGTTTGCACCGAAATTTTTAATCACGGGTACGAGCAAACAAAAGTTTCTATGGATGTATAGAAGATCAGACAAATTTCTTTTTTCACGCAATTTATTTATTTATTTATTATGAATACACTAATTCAAGTGTGTAGGGGCAGCACTATAGCATGCTTTGGGGAGCCAAGGCACCCTCAAAGTTTTAAAATCTTTCAATTTTTGCGTTTAAATTTTCAAATTTCTAGTTATGTATACGATCTTTCAAACAAATATATATATATGTTCTTCCAACTTCCTTTAATTTGCCTCGTTTTTAAGTTTGTTTATTTCCTTCTTTTTCCCTTTTTTTCATAGAAAAGGAAAATCTTGGTAAAACCCCCCAAACAAAAAAGATTTCAATAAATAGAAAGAAAAAATGAAGAATGGATTTCATTTTCACTTTAAAGAGACATGCTATCAAAATAAATGTGTTTATGCAAATTTTCATTTAGATAGAAATCGGAGATCTTTTAGATAAAAGGATAAAAATATTGTATGGTGTGAAAAATCTCGTATAACTATTTTTTTCAACTAAAATGCTGGAATATCTATTTCATATTTTTTTCTACATGTCAAAATGATGGAAAAAAGGAATATTATTTACGTAACCATCCAATTTATCAATTTTTTTTTACAATAATACTAAAAAATATATCTCTTTTTACAATATATATATATATATACAATGATGAATTGTACAATTATTAGAATTATAACAATGAAAAAAAATAAACAATGGGTTTATAAATACAGTAGAAGTTCTATATTAGTAGCTTGCCTTTCTAAATATACTTTTAAAAAAAAATGTTATTAGATTGTGTATTGATGATCAGAAAAACTTACCTAATATATATATATATATATATATATATATATTGAGTGGGCTCTACAGTGGAAAATTCAATTTTTTTTATCCTCGATCATAAATAAAATTGATATAAAAAATTATATAGAGATGATTTGGATCTTACCCTTCTTATTTTAAATTATAAAGAATTTGAAAAAAAATGATACATTTAATAGAAAATCATTTATAACAAAAATTGGTTATCTCTTGAGCTCTTATGATGGCATCTTCACTCAAAACTTTCTGATTCCGCCCTTGTAACTGTAGATGTCTTGCTTTAAAAGTCAAAATCCAGCAAAGAGAAAAATAATTTAATCTTCATAAATAAAAATTGACCGGATAGCATGTTTAACGTAAGAGAAAAAAAATCTTGGCAGCCCCACAAACGATTATTAAGGTGGCCCTCGTTTAACGAACTCCTCTTCCACGGAGTATTATACAATGACTAAGACGAACCACTGGAACCTCATTAAAGGAGGAGCTTTTCTTGGAGCGACATTAATGAAGAAACTACAGACCCAATTGATGAAACTCATATTTTATAGCTAGACACATGCTCCATTTAAAGCAGCTTATAAAATTTGGTTGGTCTGAATTCTTCAGAAGATTGATGTGATAAACCAGTACAGAAAATATCAGTGACATTAAATGTGATTTTGCTCCTCCAGCGGAAAAATGGGCTGTTCTTGTTCAACAAATAAGGAAGGAAAAGGAAAAGATGGGTTCTTGTAAGAAATAAGAACATAATAATAAAAGAGTCCACACCGATGCTCCTCAGAAAATCAAGTATACTACCAAAACGCATTTATGTGCAAAAGATAAGTTTACATTAATTATTGACCATCAGCATTAATACTTGACTTTGGCGCGAAAGATCACTATTGCATTAATTATGGACAACGCGCATGACACTACACTTTTATCTACTAGTACATGATTTTACTAGAACGAATCTAAAAAAAAAATTGACCAATTACTTCTACAAGATAATCCAAATTATTACATCACTGTCTCGATTTTTTGTTAGAATAATTATTTTTAAGAGTTATGAACTTAAATATTTTATTTATGAATCTGGTTCAATATTTTAAGTAGATCGGTCTTATGGTTAAGGAATAGAAAATAATAGTCTTTTCTTGATCATAGAGAGATTCAAATCTCTTAAAAGACTAGGAAACATAAAATAAATTCTGGTAACTTTTATACTATAGCCAAGAAATTAAATTTGAAACTGAGTTGTAAGATGCCAACAGTGTTATATATGAATTAAGAGAAACTAACCATAGGAAGGCAATCATGTGGCACGTGGTGCTTAGTTACTTGTGAAAGTGATCAAAAGACAGGCTTTACTTTGAATGTTTTGGTTAGAATGCTTGCTTTGAATTTGACACCGACTTTTGCTTAATCAGGGATTATGTTTTATATAACTAGCAGTTACTGGTCATTGTTTCGAAGAATGTTGACAAAGATCGTTGAAAATCCCACGTTAAAACACACAAACCCCGTTTGACGAAAATAGATCGGTGGAAATTCGGACATGTTGGGTCAATAGGTTGATATCTGTTGGACGAAATTCCAAACTTTGAGTTCAAACCAGCTTTTGTCATATTAATTGATTAATCATCTGGACAAGGAATTGGGCAAAAACTGGTGAAGGTTTTGATACTGGTGGGCAACGTGTTGCGTAGGGCTAGAAATAGGACAAGAGTGTACTCTAATCTCTAGTGAGATAGTCTTGTCTTATCTAATCATCTTCATTTTGTTCGCTTAAGATACCCCAATATTTAAAAGTAGACATCAAAACATTAACTCAACTCAACTATTGGATCTTTTAAGCTAGTGATACTTTCTGTAATTTGAAGGGTATGATTATGAGTTTGAACAGCATTAGGACAGATTTACCGATCAGATCCAAAATAAAGGAGTGAAATTGCATCGTTTTTTCATCAGAAAAAATAAAAATTGTGGACTGCATTGCACCACAAGAATTCCTTCACTATATATCACAAAATCCATATACTTAAATCCAAAGGAAACTGCAGTCGGGGTTTTGATCAAGTTCAAATCAGTCATTTCTCTCTACCCTTAAGGGGAAATTGAAAAGTTTTGGTAATCAACTTCTATGACGGTGCCTTATTTGAAGAAGACTTTCATCGTCATTTATTTTCTGGCCCTAATACTCCAAAACTCCACCACCTCTTTCAATCAATCCCAAGCACGATTCCCATAGCAACTGGGATTCGCACATGACACCCAGATTTTCAGATGGACAAAGAAGCACTCGTACTGATTTATGGCTCCTGCCGTAAAGGTTGTTACAACTCAACCGAATCCCAGCAACCTTCTAAAAAAGGAAAGCATTTAATGCAGTACCTAAACTATGCTTATGGCCCATGCTTTTGGCAGATTCTGCTCTATACCTTTTCTTCTGATCACTGACAGTGGTCCAACAAGCAAAAAATAATGCAGGGTAATGATGAGAAAGCATACGCGACATTGAGTTTAATGTCTAAAATTGTTGAGAGAATTATGAAAAGAATATACTCGATGAAATAACGAACGTACTAAAATCATCAATGCTTACTCATATCGTTTTGAATCAATGCTATTTTGTTTTTTTCTCCTACTACAACGAAGAAACTTTAAAACAAATGAGGGAAAAAACGTCAATTGGAAGACATATGAAGTAATAACTTTTTAATTTAAATATTTTTTTAATATAAAAATACATATACTACATTATCCAGCCATGTTACAGTTGAGCTCTAGACTCATTGGCAAATTGTTTATCATTAATGGCATTGCTTAACAGCATTACATTCCCATACAATGGTGTTCACCGATTGGTAACGGCTGTGTGGACAAAAAATACTGAAGACTTGGGTGGTTAAGAGCAGTACTAGTAAGAATAGACTCATTAGAGGCTGAAAGGTCAAAACTAAGAGAAGAAATGACATTTGTTAGCAACTCACAGGATCTTCATAGCCAACTAATTAATTAGGTCAGTGACACAAAAAGTTTCAAAAGTGAAAATACGGATCAATCATTCAACGAAAAGGTCGGTCATACAGAAGGGCCGTCATGCCAACTATTATTATTATTATTTAGGATTTGCCAAATTCCAAAAATGCCAAGATTGACAATGTACGCAGGTCCTTCTTTCTAACGGTTGCACGCGAACCCAGAGACTACAAGTTGTGTGAGCATTTGTTAACCAACAAATTCCTTGGAGACACAATTAATCGAAGTATTTTTATTAAATACTTGGTAGCTTAAAGATGTTTTCCATCTGCTACGTACATATCTTGCTTCCTTCAATGTTTTTAATTTTTTAAAAGTGAATGATAAATTTTTTAGCCGATTAGGATGAGATTCAAAAAATTATTTTTACTGAGGACATATATTTTAGACCCCACAATCATATGGATACGAATTAAAGTTTTTTGGGGTTTGCCCCAATTCCATGTCGGAGGTTTGTACGCTAGCTAACTTTATATTTTCAATATATTTAATTGCTCGCTGGGAAGTTCGGTTTCAAAACTTTTGGGTATAGTTATCACATCATATAATTATATTGCTGATTTTACATCAACGGTTTAGATGATAGACAGATCTGCTGTTCCAGATTAATTTTGTGAATCTTAAGGTATTCATTAAAGAGATAAATGGTTTTGCTACTTGTGTTATAAAAAAAAAATAAAAGATTTGAAATGAATTACTATTTATCATATTATTCACTCAATTCATGTAAATTATTAATCCAGACTTATGTTTATTATTTATTTTTACTATGGAGTGATATTTTCGTTATTTTTTATTTTTTTAGATATTCATGTATAAATTTAACATCATGTTTCATTTTAATCTTTGATATTTATAAAATATATTTTTGCTCCTTAGAGGACAAAGCACTCATGCTTGCTTCTTTTTTTTTTTTTTTTCAGTAACTTATTTTATTTTTTTTATTATTGAATTGGATGTAAAAATGATGAAAAATTAATTGTTATTTTTTCGATTTTTCATATAGGCTTACGATTATGAAATATATACGCTATATTTTCATATTTTAAAATAAATATATATTGGATTGTATTAATCTTATTATTTAAAATTATCTATTTAATTATCTATTTTTAAAAAAAATTCTCACCAAATTAATTTTTATTTATTTTTTATGTAATTTTGTTTGTTAATAAATATAATTTATTTTTCTCTATATATAGATTTTTGAACTTTTTAAATAAAATTTACATTTGTTATTTGCTTATTCTTTATATAATCAAAAATTTATCAAAATTAATTTTATAATTGTTTTTATTGCAATTTGTTAATTTCAATATATTTCTTACGGTTAAAATTTTTTCAAAATATATTTTTTAATTTATATTGCACACTTTAATCCACTCGAGTATAGTCATGATTTATGTAAAAAAAAAAAAAACAGGATAATTGGTTTTATTCAAAATTAACTATTCATCTATACACATAACATCAACAATTTGCTATTATTTTTTTTAAATAAAATATTTTAAATAATATTTTAAAAGAACTACCAAACAATTCAAATATAATTTTTATACTAATATTATTGATTATTCTTTATATATATATATATATGAAAAACAAGTTAATCTTCTTATCAACATAATTTTTATACAAGTTTTTATTTTTATTTTTTTTAATGCAACCTTATGAAAAATCAAATGTACATATTTTTAAAAAGTTAATCTTCTTATCAACATAATTTTTATACAATTTTTTTTTATTTTTTTAATGCAATCTTATGAAAAATATTAAGATGCTTTTAAAATTTTATATTTTTTTTATTTAGATTATTATAGGTTTTTGTTTAAAAAAAATGCATAAGAAAGAGCAAATTGTGTTTTTTCACCTGCAAGATTTATGAAAAAAATAAAAAAGAATAAATTAAATACAAAATTTTGATTAAAAATAATGAATTTAATTTTAGAATATTAAAAAAATAATAGTAAATGATTTGTATTATGCATAGTTATTTTTAATAAAATCAATTATACCAATTTTTTATTTTTTATAGATCATGATCATACTCAATGGGTGTAGTATGCACCATAAATAAAATAAAAAAAATAAAAAAAAGTTAAATTGTAAAGAATATATTAAAGTTAGTAGATTGTAATAAAAAAATTACAAAATTAGTTTTGATACATTTTGATTGTAAAAAAATAAAAATATAAAACAAGTAAATTCTAATTTTTAATTGATTTTTTATTTAAAAATAAACTTATTCAAAAATTTGAATGTAAAGAAAATAAATTATATTTATTAACAAAAAAATTACAAAAAAATAAAAATTATTTGATGAGAATTTTTATAAGAAATTACAAACTGAACAGATCAATTTTAAATAATAAATGTTGTGTTTTTTTAACTATAAATTTTATTATAAATATAAAAAAATAAATTAAATATAAAATTTTAATTAAAAATTATGAAATTAGATGAAATATTATGAAATGAAGAGCTTGTTTCGAAAAACTATCAATCATGATGTGATGTGGATTAATTTATCCATAATCTGTTTGGAAAAGATTTTAATTAAGTATACAAAAGTTGGCCGAAACTTAACTTAACCTTCTTTTTTTTCCTTAAAAAATAAAAACTGATTTTGGAAACTTAGCCCACTATCTTCCCAGAGTCTACCTGCAAATCATTTCAGCTTGTTTAAGAGTTTGAAAAAAATCCTTACTGACGTGTTTTCTTTTTTTCAAAATTAAAGCTTTCTCTCTCTTTAAAAAAAATAATAATAATCAAGATCTACTGTCAAATAGACTGCACTATATTCGAAGTTGAAGGTTGACTTTCTTGCTTCTGTATAGTGTACTCTAACCTTAGGCTTTCCGCTTGAATTTTTTATTTATTTCTTTCCTTAAGAAACTTTTGTGCCTTTAAGTCAAATAAAATTAACCAGCTCTAAAGGTTCCAGACTAAAAGGCAAAAACAGCGACAAAAAAGAAAACGGTTCTAGATGGTAATTCATATGAGGCATTGCATTTAAAGACCACATATGATTCAAATAAGTTTGAGAAGAGAAAGAAAGGAAAATCCAATTTGATGTCCAACATATGCAATGAATATGGTGGTTAGGAAACTGTTTTTCTTTAGACCAATAACTTCAGAAATAAGCACTGGAGATTTCCTTTTCCATTGCTCCTAATTTGAACCCAACTTGAACGGTCCGAAGATGGATTCCAAAAGGTGCTTGGTCACCAACCCATGAGAGTCCACTGTTCACATCTACGTGGAGCCATAGCCCCCCTTCAAATTCAACAGACGCAAAAGAAAATGTTCCCACATTAGGAAACTGGTTCATTATTTGTGATTAAAAGACAAATCTCCACCCCACTAGAAAAGGAGAAATTATTAGGTCGAGAAGTAGATATCCACAACATTCCGCATTTTTTCTACACCAGTTGTGACCTCTGCAAAATTAAGTCCCTTGATTGTATTCTTTTGTTTAAAGATCAATCTATATTTAATTCACTGGCCAATCAATATATCTTACCTTCGTTTGCTGTAATGATTAGTGAGTCCAATATCTTATGTCTCGATTATGGCATTCCAATGAGGCTAAGTAAGTGAAAGGGACTATATTAATCGGTACAGTTCATTTTCCAATTTTCTTTGTCTATTAGAAGGCTAAAAATAACGGGTGCACTGCACCGCTGTCCCTCTACCATTTGCCCTTAGCGAAATAAAATTCTATTTAAATTGGATCAATTCAACTCACCTTCGTTACACGTACCATGCCCAATGACTCGAAGAAAAGGAGAAAAGAAAAGGAAATGGAGGTGAAATTTAGTCAATAAAATCCAAGGAAACAAGATGAAAATATCTCTGGTCTTTCCAAAGATGGTAGGAATTGAGGGAACATGGCTCCAGGAATTCAGATCCGAGCACCACAAAGAGATCGTTACATCTTCTCATATGTCACTTTCTACCGCCATTTTGATCGTTGTCTTCGTCTTTATTTTATAAGCACTGCTTAGGTATCAAATTGTTAGGACACCCACCCACTCCTTAAGTTTTCACATCACTTTGCTCTTTTTTGGTAACGAAGGCTAGGATGCATTGAAATATTTCAATAATTTTCTAAAATTGTATAAATTTTCATTTTAATCTTCTTTTTTTTTTAAACTCATGAAGGCATGTTTTCTAATCTACTGTGATATCATCAACGAGTTTTTATTTTTATTTTTAATTTTTCAGTGCTTACGTGACAAAATATTAATGGGCTTTAATTAAATCCATGTATCAGACTTTGAAAAGTAAAATTTTATTGAATGACTAGATGCCAATTTTCTTCTTTTTACTTAGATTAAATTATTAAAATTTTCTAACTAAATAAATTAATCTTGATATCTATAAATTGTAGATATGCAAAGAAGTTGCGTGAAAACATTTTTGATGTCACAGGTGATGCGAGAGGCCGAGTTAGCCGATGATGGCTGGCAGCCTGGCAAGCCGAGTCAGCTTTGATTTTTGCGGCAGTGCGGCGCCTGTGCCTCGTGGTATGTTTTTGCTTTTCCATAATAGCAGTACATGGATGAAGAATTAGGCCTGCATTGCCTCTTGTTAGGACCGAAATGTGAAAAAAATTTAAAGGAAAAATAACAATGATTAAGCACATGAAAAGTGCTTGTAAACGTGCTCTTATATACACGTGCAGAAGTCCAACCAAATTCAAGTGGGTATGGGTCCATCAAAAGGAAATTACCTAAACCCGATTGCCTCATAATAGGAGTGCAAGCTTCAGACTTGATAATAGCAGAAATCAAACAATAGGTATTTTTTTTATCTTTTTTTTTTCGAAAAATACGATCATTTTATTAATATTAAATTGATATAAATCAAATTACTTTCTTGACATTTATTATAAGAAAAAAATCTGATAAAAATCTTTAGAGTTTTGATAAAATCATTGTCTTTCATCCAATATTTGATAATCTTTTCATTACAAAAAATAGAGTTATTTGAATCGATGAAATTAAAAATTTTTTAAATAGGATTATTATTTTTTTTCAAATCATGCATTAAAAATTCTCTTGTACATAGATTGTAGAAACAAGTCGCACTATCAAAATCTCTTTTATGGATGATTTTAGCCATCCAGTAATACCAATAGATGCCTATCTTTTTCCAATAACAAGATATAACCTCAAAACTTTTATTCAAATTAATAATTTAATCTTTCATACTTGAGGACATAAAAATCTTATTAGGAGAGAAAATCATACGTATAAATTAAATCTGAAAAAATCAACCCTGATATTAAAAAATAAATAAAAAGATAAGAAAAATTACATCCATATAAAAAAAAAAAGAAAAAATCAATAAAAAAAAGGTTGTCGCCAGCTAAAAATAGCTATGGTAACCCAGACTAAAGTTTAAAATAAGGTGTTTTGGTGACAGAAAGAGAAAGAGGGAGGGAGAAGAAACACACTTGTTTTGAAGATAATAAAACTTAAACCGATCTATTTTGCAGGGAAGGATTTGCGGTTACATAGGTCAGGAGAGACAATTGTTTTGAAGATAATAAAGCTTAACCCGATCTATATTTTGCAGTGAAGGATAGTTCATATGTGTGTGTGTGTGTGGGGTAAAATAGGTTAGGAGATACACTTGTTTTGAAGATAATGAAGCTTAAACAGATCTAATTAATTTGCAGGAAAGGATATGTGGTAAAATAGGTCATTGGTGGATTTCCAATTGAAGCAGGGGAAGAAGGAATCTGCAGCAATTTATACTTTTGATTATAATAAATCTTATTCATTCTCTCTCCCCCACTACAACATTTTCCTTTTGTTTTTTACCTCCTCTATCCAATGATACCTGAACCAATATTGTATTGGAGTAAATTATAAATTAGTGTTTAAAAAACTATTGTTTAATTTTTTAATAAATATTGCGTAAGCTTAATTTAATGTTATTTTTATTTCACAAAATCTCTTAGTTTTCATCAATCTTTTCATGTTTTTTTTTTCATATTTTCTTTCTTTTTTTATTTCTTACGGCAAAAAAAAAAAAAATCAAAATAAATTAAAAAAAAAAGGACTAAATTACAAGTAGATTTCAAAACATGAAGACTAAATTATTAGTTTTTTTTTTAAAAAAAAGACTAATTAATTTGATTCTCAAAACAAGAGGGACTAATTTATAATTTACTCTATTGTATTGGTTAAGCATCACACATGTATCAAAAATCACAGTAAAAAAAACAAAACACACACACACAGTATAATGTTTGACATGATTCTATTATATCTATATTCAAGGATGAAGAGAAAAAAAATTCACAATAATTGAAACAGTACACATCTCATTTCTCACATCACACGATAAATGTTTCTCAATGAAACACAATATTTTAAGATGTCGTTAGGTAATTAGGAATAGAGTAGTGAGAATGTAAATGAAAGTTTTATTTTTATATTGTAGCTATTTGATTAAAATGAATGAAGTGAAAATAATAATAAAGAGTGAAAATGAGAATGAAAATTTACACACAACTTCATTTCCATATAAGATGTGGAAATAAAAACAAAGAATGAGAATGAATTTTTTTCAAAATAATAATATATTTTATTTATATATTTATTATCTATTAACTACTTTTACCATAACCACCACTACCACCGTCGCAACCATAACCATTACCATCACCACCGCAACCACCATTAGCGAAACCATCACAAGCACCACCATCACAATCACCACCACCACTAAAACCATCACCGTCATAACCATAATCACCACCATCACCTTTATTATTTTTACAACCATTATAGTTTAATTAAATTATTTTTTTACTTATTATTTTTATTTGTATAAAAAACTATATATTAAAAAATTTAAATTGCATTATGATTCCTCATTAGTATTCCAAACACGGTATAAAAATACAAATACTATTTCGATTCTTTAATTTTCATTTCGATTCATGCATTCTCATTTCTATCACTTCATTCCTAATTACCAAACATCACCTAAATATATTGTATTCTGTATAATTCTAATAGATATAAGAGTATAAGCCAAAATACTCAATAGAGTAAGCCACTTTATAACTTTACTCCACTAATAATGCCATATTTGGCTATTAATTAAAATGGAGTGTTATTGCACATGGGTAGGGTTTTTCTCATATATGGTATTTTTATTTTTTAAATTATTTTGATTGAAATTTTGTATTCTCTTTCATATTGATACACTCCCTCTATTATTTCTTATGTTTTGTTTCCGTTTCTTTGTTATAATGTTGTTATTTGTAAACTAATGTGATGTGTCCACTCTTAAAAACATAACATATATTATACATAAGATACCGATAATAATAATAATAATAACTCAATTAAAACAATTCAAAAAACATGAGACTTCAATTAAAACAATTCAAATAGTGCAAAGATTAAATTGTTATTTTTTTTATTTTTATGTTATTATGTTTTTAAGATCTCATTTTAAATATTACAAAACGAGTTATATTTGAAACTCCATCACAATAAAATTATCTCAAATTAACTCCGGAGAGTACTTTTTTATAAAAAAATTATTATAATAACTTATAGATAGTAAAATACTTACTACTATAAATTTTACACGTGACTCACTTCATTCACTTATTGCGAAATTTTAAAAAAAATAATATAAAAATTAAAATAAAAGAAAAAATAATTTGATTTTTGTATTTTTGAATTGTTTTAATTGAATGTTTTATTGATGTCTCACGTATGAAACGTGTTATACTTTTAAGAGTAGACACATTATGTCAATTTACAACTAATAAGGTCACAATGAAAGGATGAAAACAAAACAAAACAAAACTCAATTAATACGGAAAAAAAGGGTAAAGAATTTTTTTTAAAAAAAAAACATTGGAAAAGTAGAGCTATAGTACTTAGGCAAACCTCATATAGATAAGGCGTCATTATCAATAACCTACTCAACAGAACCAATTGTCATTAATATGTGAAATTAAAAATTGTTAAATTTTAGTTTAAAAAAAAGAAATATTCAAAAATATTTTTGAATTAACCTTTCATACAAATATTAGATATTTCCTAATTAAGTATAAAGCAGACCATTGATATTGGATTGGTGAATTCAATAAGATGTTATCTTTAACTTGTACAACAAACTCATCCCTTTAGATCGATAAGGTTACAAATGTTGAATCATAGTAACACCTAATGTATGTATCAAAACCAAAAACATTTTGATATAATAATTTAGTGATTTTTTGCTTTTGGACAGACATCAAGTGGAGCGCATGCTTGTACCTTTTCAAAGTCTTTAGGTGTTATTTGATAACTA